GGTCCGAGTTGGCGTAAAACAGGGTTGGTAGAGAATAGTAGGACAGACGTGGTTATGTAGCCCCACTCAAAGTAAACAAACCCCAGCCACCTGTAATATGGGACCGGTGGTAATAGGAGTTTTTACAGGTGGGACCGGGGGAGCGCACAGGCGATGAGGTCAAGTAGTTGTATGCAAAAGAATAGTTATTGGGAATGCGCGGTTGTACTTTGAGTGGTTGAGAAATAGTTGCGCTAACCTCTAGCCCCAGCCATAAGCCTAACCCCTAACCTTAATCCCTGACCCCAACACCAACAGTACTGTGTCCATCAGGTGGGACCGCATAACCGCGTCTTACCGAATAGTGTTCTTCTATGTTTTCAATTCGCTTAAGAGCGTTCATTGTTTATTCGGAATTTTTGGTCCACTCTTTCGAGCCGGTTTGTGAGTAATAAGCAGTGTTTCGTATATTTCAGTACGTTTTATGAGTTCCAAACTTACTGTACTTGCCTGCAAGCAGACACTTAATAGCTTAAATGAGGTCATAAAACCCCCACAAGTTTAATATTCTGAATTTATATGAATGCGGGCATTGGGATGCGGAAGAGTGGACATGGGTAAGGGCGAGATCATCTCTTGGCGACATTTTATTTAACCACCACAAACTCTTTCATGTTAAAAATAGAGTTCCGCTATCTGATTTAGATCATCCCCAAAAGCGCAATTTCAAGCAAACACGAGAGGAAAATTAGGGTTCTTGGCACTCCTCACACAAACCATCCGTTTACTGCAAACCAATTTAACTGGCATTATCCCCCATTTCCTTAAAGTATCGAATGTCCAATCTTATTCTATCTACTGTGCAAAATTCTTAAGTGGAATTGTTGATATTTGTTATTCTTTTAAAACCGTTATGGTTATACCTGACAGAAGTTCTTCCCGCAACTCAAGTTTATGAGGCGTCGAAAGGAACCCCACTTTATACTAAAAATTTGTAATAATATAAGAGACATTGAAGCCCTAGTAAAAGGAGGGACTGTCGGACTGAACGATCCATTTGTGAGACAGCTGTTTTCCTCATCATCCACCCCTCTGCACATATTTGGAGGATCCCTAAGCGCCCCATCGACCAGCAAAGCCTACTGTCGCACGTTGACCCTATTTTGGACTTACTAAATGAAAATTCTATCGTTACTGACAATAGCTCCAATTATGACAGATGGGCGCTCGCCGATCAGGTTAAGGGACGTGCTCGGTCCGTTGTGCTTTGGCATAACCTGATCCGTGAACGCCCATCTGTCGTAATTGATATTCCTGATCACAACCGACAGGACAACGGGCCCGTGGCTCAATGATAGAGCATTCAACTCCATGATTAAAGATCCCGGGTTCGAATCTCAAGTGATCCATACTTGGGGTTGGGTATGACTGGCTGATGACGGCCAATAAGCCAGAAATGGCAATTCCGGCCCCCTTATCTTTGCCCGTACCATCTCATAACTACAATTGCTCATATAAGTGAAGATGCGACTTCCAGGATGTGGTTGATGAGAAGTAGAAGCGATGGCCGAAACAAAAGCCTTATTCGACTGATGCCTCGGATTCACGCTCAGCGGCAGTAATAGAAACGGATAATTCGTGCATAGGAATAAGCAGTATTAATACGATGCAGTTGCTATCCTACTGAATGCCTGCTGGTGCGCAAGTTGCTTGATGGTCAGCATGGAAGACGTTAATCCGTACAATTTCACTGCCAATGTTGGATGTTGGATGGATGGCTCGACCACATGGCACAACAGCCTGCAAACTCCCCAAGTGGCTAATTGCTTTGGTCAAACTAAGTCTCGCCACCGAATATAAGGTGGGGATGTGATTGCACCTGTTAATAGACTGGGGTCCCGCGTACCATAACGCAAGCAACTCGCTGCTCACGCGATTATCATCTCAAGAGAGCTTCGGCCTCACTGAAGTTGAATATGTGGCCGGGTCTCGCCGTAGTGGTTGCGACTTCAGAGTTGGCTTCATTTCGCCTCGCTTCTGCCTCATGTTCGACGATTCGTGCACGGAGCAGGTTCCTAGTTTCGCCGACGTAGTTACTTTGCCCGGCACTGCATCAGATTCTGTAAGCTTTTGGTCCCATAGTCCGAATTCTAATGGTTGCCTCCGGCCTGCGTTCGGCTCCAAATCCAAGTAGTGCGATAAGGCGACAAATGGTCTCGGAGACGTTCTTGATGTACGGGACCGCTCGCCAAAATTTGGAATAGGTGTGATTTTATAACTCGTCTAGTTCGCGCATGCACCGGTTGACGGGTTGAAAACCCATCGAAGATGTTGGAACTCGGCAATCTTGTCATCTGTCTCCCTGTAGTGCGTCTCAACACGCCTATACAGAGTCCTTATGAAACTGCGTTTTTGGCTTATTAGGTGGTCGCTGTTGAAGTTCAGTATTTGGATCCTGAACATTTTGGTCTTTAGGCCACTAGAATTATTGCGACAGACGAGGACATCAAGGAAGGCCAATTGGTTATTTTTCTTCCTCCTCCCTCGTGAATTGTAAGTGCGGGAAGACGCCATTGAGGCGTTATTTGAGCGTTAGCACCTGATCCCGTTCGATGACGACGAAGGTATCTTCCACGTACCGAGTCCAGAATTTCGGTCTGTGATATTGGAGGCCCAGCGATCTAGCCGACAAAGGGCAGAGCGATTAATTATCATAGGTATGCAGTAGCGTAGCGACTGCATCCTATAAATACTGCAACTTCCCGTGCACGAAGCATCTCGTTCCTGTTTCCGATTGGGTTCACAGTCCAAAGTCAGTTTCGTACTAGTTATAAACAGAGTTGCTAGAAAGCGTCAATTATTTATTTAGCTTGTTGCTAAGTCAGTTAATAGCTATAAGTGGCGGATCGTGAGTCCTATTGACGGCAACAGGAGGGAATGTTTGCGTTGAGCTTAACGACACAGCTATGGTTTTCCATCTCAGACATATCTCACAAATTCAGTCGCCACTTGTTTAGTGTGGATAAATATTTTTTTATAAAATGAGAGTTTAAATAAACAGATTTGCTAAATTGACACCTTGTCAACCACTATCCGTCCTTAATTAAGTCAATTATCTCCCTTCCCCGTTGCGTGATACGGCCTACGATCATCTGGCTCTCTGTTGTTGTTGTTGTTGTTGTTGCTCACAAGACGCCCTCTGGCACACATCTATTCACAAAATCCTTGAGACCACTGATCCCTATGTAGCCAATCAAATTCGTACCTCCTTCTAGCATGCCTCTCAACCGGACTGCTCTTGCGAAATCTATCATTTGTGATGTCCGCATCTCCTCACTCCTCTTTGCAATACATTTTTCCAATGAATCCAATCTATTTTAACTTCATCAAAGCCTTTGGTAATGTGTCGTACATGTAGCTTCTAGAAAAAGGGGAATCTTTGGCAAATCCCGTCTCCTTACGGACCTCATTATCTCGGTTCTCCATTTCCAAGTAAGATGTTCTTCGATATACTGTGCCGGGCAATCGTTTCCTTTTACTCACATTTACGATATTTGGTTTGTAACGTGCTCAAACCTCTTTTTTAAACTAATGGACTCAAATTTACACTCTTCTTCTCTAGGGCTACGACACACCGTTGTTTAAAAGAAATAAATCCAGATTTGATGATCTTTTAATTTCCTCAGAAATTAACCACTAACTGAACGCTACTAAGTTGTCTTACCATGCACATGCAAACATACGTACATGTTTATGTTGTTTGACTTTCCTCCATAGTTCCGTAGCCTCTCTAACATTTATGCGCATCAGGTTATCTCGCAGAAATTGTTTTCAGTTAGACTACTTGGTATTTCCCTATTTGGCGTTCGTTCTGTTGGTTCTTAACCTGTTTCAAATTCGCAAGTGGCGGTTTATTAAAATATCTTTTAGTTGTTGATAATTGTCTTTTCTTTGTTTTTTAATCAACGCGCTGGATTCCGTTGTTAAATATAGGTGTAAGAGGAGGATTTCAATGGAAATCTATTTACTTTAGTGTTTTATTGCATTAATTTCGTTCCGTCTCCTCGTTAATGCCCCGCCCGTAAAGCTACTATTACCACCATTCCTGTATTGCACAGTCCTGGGGTTACGTAACCCACTGTTGCCGAAAAGACGATCTCGAGAACCATAAATGTATTGTCCTGACGCTTCAAGAACAAACAGGCTTCCATCGCCGGGGGTGAGTTTAGTATCCCGCCTCACAGTATTTATGGATATTGACGATCTTATTAAAACAAAATTACCTAGGCAATTAGAGTGACGGGGAGGAGGCCTCAGTCCTCATACTGCCGGAGGGTGGGGAGCGGTGCTTTGACTTTGGTGACCATCGTTTGTATGTACACAGGGACTGTGGCCAATAACGTGATTCACATCGGGGACCGGCGTTAAGACGTTGATCACTGTCGTTCGTATCATCAATGATCCTAACTCTCGTTCTAGGCTGGCAATCGTGTCCACGTTCCTACGACCGTCCGTTTGCCCTGACTTTCAATTCACGCTTTGAAGACCCATTGGAGGCATTGTAGTTCGGCAATCTTGTCTTTCGGCTCACTGCAGTGCGTTTAAACACGCTGATATAGCGTCTTCATGCAACTGCGTTTGTGGCTGACTGGGTGGTTGCAATTGAAGTCCAGTACTTGCATCGTATTTGTCGCTTTCCTGAACCCTTTGGTATTTAGGCCACCACGATCGTTGCGGCATACGAGGACATCCAGGAAGGCCAGCTGGTCGTTCGCTTCCTCTTCCATCGTAAATTGAATGTCCGGGAAGACCGCATTCGGGTGTTCCTGGAATGTCAACAGTTGATCCCGGTCGATAACGACGAAGGTATCATCCACATACCGGGCCCAGAACTTCGGTTTGTGGTGTCGGAAGACCAGCTACTCTAACCGTTGCAGGACCGCCTCGGTAATGAATCCCAAAATCGGCGAACCCTTTGGTGTGCCCTTCACCTGTTCGTAGATTGTCCCGTCGAACGTGAATTACGTCCTGAGACAGAAATTCAGGAACTGAAGAACTTGGGCGTGTCCAAGACGATTCTCCGTTTCATTGTATTTGTTTTGTAGAAGCAGCTCGATTGTCTCAATCGCCAGGTCTTGGGGAATAGAAAAAAAAAAGGATGTAACATCAAAAGATACCATGACCTCATTTGGATGGAGGCTTACCCCTTTGAGTTTCTCCCGAAATTGTGCTGCCAAAGAGACCGTGGTGTCTGACTCAGCGGTCAGGAACTTGAGACGCCGGAACAGCCACTTAGCCAGTCCGTACGTTGGAGTACCTTTGGGAGGCACGATTGGTCGAAGAGGAACGCCGTCTTTGCGCACCTTAGGGAGGCCATAGAGTCGGGCCGAAGCCATATCTTGGGGTCTCATCATGCGTCTGTCGGTTGGTGTTATTGCACATGAGTTCTCCAAATCCAAGAAAGTAGCATTAAGTTCGCGTGTCAGGGCTTTTACAGGGTTCGTTGCACACGTAGCATAGAAATGTCGGTCCCACGTAAACCGTTGGCCTTCTGAACGTAGTCTGTCCTGTCCAGTACAACGGTAGAGCGCCTTTGTCCGCTGGCACGATGACCATGTCTTTGTCAGCCTTGACCTCCCTAAGCGCATCACGTTCGACCTTGGAAAGCACGTGCGGCGGCCTGTAGGCCATTAGAAGGAACAACACTTGGTGTCGGATGAGACTCTTATTCTCCTACGTTGCCTCCGTCTGATTAAAGATTGATTCCACTGCTGCGATCAGGTTAACAGGTTTGGCGTCAGCCGGGTTAAATGAAGCTTCGTGCCGTTAAACCTGCGTCTGATCCTTCGTCAGCTCCTATGACGACAGGTTGACGCCAGTATGTCTCCTCTCTCACATTAATGATATTCCAAATCCTCCTCGAATTTCAGCATTTACCAACAGTAGTCGTCCAAAAAAATCTTCGCATCTCTTCCCTGGTTATATATCCTCCCGCTTCCGCCACCACTAAACGCTCCTTTTTTTCGCTTCAAGGCATACTTTCCTCTGGAGTAACCATTCCAAGCAATATTTCGATGATGTACGTACGTTTAACAGAAGGCTGCGGCTTTATCTGAATACTGAACCCATCAAACTTATATTTTCCTCATAATTCCCTGAAAACTTTCTCTATGAGACCGAGAAAGGGCCACCGGGAGTTTCGGACGCCGACATTAAATTTCCGTATCCGCTCACATTTCCTTTTTTGTATGTAGTATTGCTTCCTGGGATCCTTCATCAGTAAATTTATTTTTTTGATTTTTCAGTCGACGCATCATGCCCTTCACAGAATGCGCTCTATCGACGCTCACGGCGGAACCCTCGGCATTCGCCATATACTAGTAGGCTGGTCGCATCTCCCTTGGCCCCTCATCAGCTGGACTCGAAGATGACTGTAACCGATCGCATCTGGGTTCCTATCGCCTCAAGGCTGGTTCTCTATTCGCCACTTTGACATGCATGGTTTCATCCAACATATGAATCCAGCCTTGGTGATGTCCGTTTCGGACCTTTTACTCAATACCACATGCAGGTCAGTCCTGCCTGACTCGCCTACTCACCCCTTCATGAAATCCGTTATACATTGCCACATACAGGCCGTCCTGCACGCCTTTTGCACTTTTATGGGCGACAGCTTTATTTCTCCTAGGATGTTAATCCAGTCATATTCATTTTGTCTATATGTTGCGAGTTTTTTTACTGTTCGCTCATAATTCTTCGTAACATACTACTTATTCAATAATTATGATTCATGTATTATATAGATTCTGCATACCTGTCCTAAAATTCATGTAAAAGTTATTCTTACTTGCTATGAATGGACCCCCGAGGGTCTTGAATAAAAATATTATTATTAGTATTATTATCATTGTGTAGATAGCGACTTAATGAATAACTATACTGGATCATTGGATTGGCGTGGTTCCTCTCCTGTAATGATGCAGCCATTCTTCTGATTCTTCAGATTCCCTTGTCCCTCATGTTCTTTGTAACAGGCTTAAAAAGAGAGACCTCAGCTTTGTGGCTCATCCACTAGTACTTTATCCGTTCATCTTAGAATCACAGAGATTTTCGAAATGACGTCAAGGATGCACAAAATCGTGATGGGCAAAGAGAATCCCTTGCTATTAGCGATCAGAATCCCGCAAAATCTGTCGCTAAAATCTTCCGTCGTCGGTCCTCCTTTAAGCGTAGGCACGACATCCCACCTTTCTAAACTAAAACAAAATCTACTGCATCGATGACACTGACAAGGCGGAGTTGTTTCGTGCTTTCTTTGAAAAACACCTCACTACTGAGTTCAAGCCAGTTTCTTTCGTTCGTTCGCTTTCAGATAGGTCACTGAGTACAATGGACGTCTCCTCAAATCTGATTAAGAGACACATAGGTTGTTTAAAATTTCATACTGTTCGGGAATGGACGGAATTGCGCATTCAATTATTAGACAAGCATCCGATATTCCCATATTGCTTAGTCATTAATAGTCGGTTTATATTTCAGTCGGAATTTTCCCGGACACAAGGAAGACGTCAATTACCATTCCTGTCTCCAAGTCTGGATCTCTGTCCGATGTTAATAATTATCAGGGCATGCACAAAACAACGCCTCCGGCAAAACTCCTTGAAAGGATAATTTCCAATGAGCTTCTAGACTTCCGTCTAGATAACCAGCTTATGAGCTCTAATCAGCATGAAGCCTTACCAGAAAGATCTTGCAAAACTTGTCACTTGGCATTTCTTAACCTAACCACTGCTCTTCGTAATGAGCAACTGTCAGTGGCAGATATCTACTTAAATTTTAGTAAAACCTTCAAAAAGGTGCCCCATATACGTCTTCTGATGCAATTCGCAGCCCTTGGCATCCGGCCGCCTATATTTGACTTCATCGAGTCCTATCTATCCAACCATTATCAGAAAGTCATGGTCGATAATAGCTACTTTACACCTCACTCGACCACGAGTGGCGTACTTCCAGACACGGTTCTGGGTCCGCTACTCTTCCTTCTGTACATCAATAATATTTCGACTGGACTCAAAAATTCACAGACTTTTATTTGTGCCGATGACCTCAAATGTGTTTGCTCATATTCTTAGGACATCGCAGTCGCTTTTGTTGAAAAAATTTAATGCCGATTTACTACGTTTAAGCAAATGGAGTTCAAAGTGGCAGGTGGAGTTTTCATCATCCAAGTGTAGTTTCATGTATTCGGTGCTGCCAAAGGTCCTGGTCCCATAATTTTTCAGAATAACCCACTTTCCGAATGCTTCAACATAAAGGACCTAGGCTTAAATTACGCAAATAAACTTGTTTTATCACCACATGCAGGTAGAATCTGTGCCAAAGCCGCGCACATATGTGAATTCATATCGCACAATTTTTTCCTTCCGGGAATGAAGTTAGGACTTTATCATATGTTTGTTCTACCAGTCCTTGAGTACTGCTGTACCTTCTTTAGTTTAATGAACGCCTGTGACCGTAATAAAATCGAAAATATACAGAGAGTTTTCACCCAGAAACTGTTCTTTCAAGTCGAATCCGGCACTTCTTATACTCAGAGATGTCAGCTGGCAAACATTAAGTTTTTGTGGGCTATAAGACTCGAAGCTCGCCTTTGTTTCCCTCTTCACATTAACTCTAGCTCCAATCTTCCGCTCATTTACACTTTCACTCCGAGAGATCGGTCTTATGCCATGCGTACTTTCCCCATGTTGCTTTCGCCACCTCTTTGCGCTATGTCTAAACGCCCCCTTCTTTGCTTCTAAACATGCCTTCCATTAGAATAATCTTCCACCAGAAATGTGGACATCTCGTAAGTTATCGGGATTTAAATCGAAATCACACAAACACCCTACACAGAAAAGTATAAAGGCACTTTTAACAATCTCATTCCCGAACACTCAGCTTCTTGACTTATGGGATTTAATGGTAGATTTAGTGGAACCTCTCACTTAAAATGTCCTGTTTTTAAGTAGTTACTAAATCCACTGCTATTACTCCTCGCCGCGGCGATGATTTTAGCGACTCTTGACGTCATTTCATTTCAACCCCAAGCGGTCTGTTGACGCTCACGGCGGAACGCTCTACATTCGCCATATACTAGTAGTCTGGTCGCATCTCCCTTGCCCCTCCTCGGTTGGGCTCGAAACTGACTGTAACCGATCGCATCTGTGCTCCTATCGTCTCGCCACTTTGACGCGAATAGTCTCATCTGGTGTATAAATTCAGCCTTGACGATGCACTTATCGAATCCCTTGTAGACTACCGAATACATCTGGTCCTGTCTGACCCACATTCTTACCCCTGTATAAGTGAATTTTTCTCTGCTTTGGCGACATCCGTTTATCATCCTTTATACTCTACCACTCTCAGGCCATTAGTGGCATCCTTTTTATCCTTTTTAAGCGACAACTTGTCTTCTCCTTTAAAGTTTATTCAATCATTTTATTTATTACGCAACGGAGTCTGCATTCACTTGATGCTATACATTCTTCATGTTCGTTGCTAATTCCTGCGATTTCTATGTACTAATAGGCAATTTAAACGCGTAAGCCTATTTTCCTCAAATGCACTGAACTTGTGGCAGCCAGCCATCATGACCGGTCTGGCGTCATTGTTCAAGACCTCGCTGTCTCAAGGTCATTCACCCCTTGCAGCGAGCCGTCCCAGACGAACGGACCTGAAGTCACACGACCAACAGCTCGGGCATACCTGCGTCCGCGCAGTCGCAGCTGCCCATGCGGCCACTTGAACGCGCCACCCCCTGCAACCAGGAAAACAAGCCACTGGGACACCACCCCTCGCCAAATGCAACACACGCTGACTGGCCGCCACTTGAGCTTGGCCCTCGAGCCTACACAAGCGCCTGCCACCATTATCTCATGGACTCTCAGGCCTGACTGGACGCAGTCAACACCAGTCCTGGCTTCGCCACTGGCCATTGTCGCCTGAGAGGACAACTCCGGGTTCTGTGCACAATAAACCCCTCATTCTGGTGTCTTTCGCCTTCTACTTACGACTAGGGCTTCGACCAGGTGGTTGTAGCTCAAAGACTGCACACACTCACGCCGCTTGATTACGACAAACTGAACTGATCTCGCCATCCATTATTATTTTATTCCGTCAGCAAAAAGTATCATGGCCGTTTCTTCCCCGCTTTGCTGACGCCCATAGCCCTAATTTCTTATCTTCGTGTGGACCCTAAGCGAACTGTGACTGATCGCGTTGGGCCCACCCTGTCTCGCCACTCCGATGGTTGCGTTGTAGTCAATTTAAAAATATTAGGATCATGCCTATAGCGAAGACCGCGACCAGTATGTGAATTTAACCATGACGAGGACTATTTTGAATCCGAAAAAACTCTTACCTGTGGGACGGTCAATTCAATTCAATTATTTTTATTAAAGACCCGTCGGGGTCCCATCAAAGCAATTAAAAATAAATTTTACATGCGAATTTTAGACGAGGTAGGCAAAATCTGTACAAAGTGCAATATATAGTTTTTGAGATTAGATGTCCATTAAGCAAAATGAAAAACTAGGGGTGAAAAAAAAACTCCAAAGCAAAATTTAAAAATAATTGCAGTAATTTAACAGAAAAAAACCCTCAAAAAATAGCATCAGAAAAGTGCAGGGAGGACTGGCCTGCATGTGGCGGTACAGAATGGAATATAGTCGGACATCAACATGGCCGATATAAATGTCAGCTGCATATGGCATTGTGTAACGGATTTCATAAAATGGTACGTAGGCGGGTCGGTCAGGACTGGCCTGTATCGCCTTGAATAAGAAAAATAAGTGGCGAAATTGAAAACCAGTCTCGAGCTGATAGGAACTCAGATGTGGTCGGTTTCATTCAACCGAGTCCATCCGAGCATGGGGGAAGGGAGATGCGACCAGATTACTAGTATATGGCGAATATAGAAGGCTTCGCCAAGAGCGTCGATGGAGCGCATTCTGTGAGGGCATCATGAAAATCAGTCTCGAGGCGATAGGAACCCACATGCGGTCGGTTACATTCATCCGAGTCCAACCGAGGATGGGGTAAGGGAGATGCGACTAGACTACTAGCATATGGCGAATACAGGTTTCGCCAAGAGCATCGATGGTGCGCATTCTGTGGGGGCACGATGCATGAACTGAAAAATTGGAATAATTAACATTTCTGGTGAGGGATCTTTGGTAGCGAGACTACTCATAAAGGAAGGAAACGTGAACAGATACGGAAATTTAATGGCGACATGTTAAATTCCCAGTGGCCCTTTCTCAGTGTCATAGAAAAAGTTGTCTGGGAAGGATGAGGAAAATAAAAGTTTAATCGAGTCAGTATTCAGATAAAGGCGTAGCCTTCTCTTAAAGATGTGTAGATTTTCTGAGGATCTTATATTTATTGGAAGGTTATTCCAGAGGAAAGTATACCTGGAAGCGAAAAAAAGGGAGCGCTTAGAGGTGGAGGACGCTGGAGGAGGTATAATTAGAGACGAATTGCGAAGATTGTATGGGCGACTACTAGGGGTAAGTGCTGAAATCCGAGGAAAATTTGAACTATGATTAATGCGAAAGAGGAGACAGAAGCTCGCTTCTATTCTTCGAACCCATAAAAAGTTTAGGTTAATTAGCTGGCATCTATCTGAGTAGGAGATATTGGGATGCTCCCTATCTAAAAGTTTTTTAGAAAAACGTCTTTGGACATTTTCAATTTTTAAACGACTGGCTTCATTCATCAAACCAAAGAATGGGCAACAATACTCGAGAATGGGAAGTACAAACATACGATAGAGCCTTAATTTAATTTCAGGAAGATAGAAATTGTAAGAAATAAAGCCACAAATCTGGGCAGCTTTGGCTGTAATTCTGTCAGCGTGCGGCGAGAGATCAAGATTACTAGTGTAGCTTAAACCTACATCCTTGATGGTGGTACATTCAGTCATAGGTGTGCTTTGAAAGACCACTGGTTGGGGTAGCCTATCAGGTCCAAAACACATATAATGACATTTAGACGGAGAGAATTCCATTAGCCATTTTGAGCTCCAAGCTGAGAGAGCAGGCAAGTCAGCATGGATTTGCTCCAGGCAATGAAGGCTCGTAGAGTTTTTTGAAAGAATATACACATTTGAGATCATCGGCATAAATAAATGATTGAGAATGTTTAACTGCTGCTGAAATATCATTTATGTAAAGCAAGAACAAAAGAGGACCTAAAACGGTACCTTGTAGGACACCGCTTACAATAGGACTTTCGCTGGAAAGTGAAGATCCCGCTAACACCTTTTGTTTACGATTAGACAGGTATGACCTGATAAAGTCTATTAGTGGACTGTGAATTCCCATAGCTTCCAATTTAATCAAGAGTCTTTTATGTGGCACTTTATCAAAGGCTTTACTAAGATCAAAATAAATAACGACAACAGATAGGTGATCATTACGAAGAGAGGTAAGTAGATTGAGAAACGACAGATGACATGTTTCAAAAGAGCGATCTGGTAAAAAACCATGCTGGGAAGGGCTAATAACTTGATTGGCTATGCAAAATTCGGTAATTTTTACGGCGATAAGTTTTTCAAAGATTTTGGCGAGAGAGGGTGCTTTATGGACACCTCGATAGTTCTGTACGTCAGAACGACAGCCAGACTTAAATAATGGAATAATAATAGAAGTTTTCCAATAGTCAGGGAAGAAGCCATTTACGAGAAATACTGAAAAGATTTTGCTAAGCAGAGGAGGAAAATCTCTTAGCTCTTTTATCAAAGAGTTTGGGATATTGTCCGTACCTACTGAGTGAGAGTTAGGAAGATGGCTTATCAGTTTTTGAATACGTTCAGGAGAAAAATTGATGAAGCTAAGAGAAGCATCAGACAACGAAGGAATTAAAGGGATCGGATCAGTTTCAATGGTGAAATGCTTAGCAAAGAACGAATTGAAAATTTCTGCTTTGCCTGACTCTTCTGTAATGAAGGCATCACTTGCACTAAGCAAGGGCGGAATGACTTGGTGGGACTTAGTAGATGATCTCTGACGGAATATCTGAGCAACTGATTTAGAAGCATTCACGTCATTAATAGCTAAAGACTCTCTACGCCTATCTCGCTCGAGCCTCATTTTCGAAGCTAGTTCAAATATCTCAACGATTCTTAGATGAACTGATAATGAGCTCACAGAAGGATCTTTAACCTGCTTCCGTAACTTTTTAAGTCTGTTTTTAAGAAAGTGTGGGATAGCGGTGGAATTAGCACTCGATTTGAACATCTTCCGAGGAATAAGGTCAAGAAGACCTTCTGTTACGCATTGTAATAAATTGTTGAAAAAATTTGGATCATTATTTGAAAAAATATTTTGCCAATCAAAAGTGCATGCAAAATTATTTACTAATTCCTTGTTAACATTAGCAAAGTCAAAAATACTACGTTGAACTGTTGGCTTTGCGGAAATGGCAACTGGAAGGCGACAATGGATTAATGCATGATCACTTGCAAAGAGGTCATGATAAAAATCCATAGATAAAGGGAAGGCGCCATTAGTAAAAATTAAGTCTAAAACACTATCGTTTCTGGTCGAAGAGTGAACTAATTGAGTCAGGTTTGAAAAGTAAATTGTGTCAAGCAGCTTCTGGAATTTAGGAGGAGAAGTATGTGTGTGCCAGTCAATTTCTGGCAAATTAAAATCGCCTACGATTATCTTGACATCGAAAGAAGCTTCTGCAATTTTTTCAAAGAGTTCACAAAGTTGGCTTTCATTTCCAGAGGAACAAGGAGGATTATATACACATCCGACTAAGGCTTTCCTATTTTTCGGAAGAATAACCGAGGCAAAACATAAATTTCCAGAGAAGGAGGAAATGTTCAAGTTATAAGGCGATTGTGCAAGTGATGCTCTTATGTAAAGAAGATATCCACCGCCGCGTCTGTCGGCACGGTCCTGACGGTATAAACTGAGGCTATCTATATTAAGTGCCGGGTCTGAAATTAGAGAGTGGGCCCAGGATTCTGTAATGCACAATACGTCTGTGTCAAACTCAACAGCTACGCTTCTTAGGTGTGCCATCTTTTGTACGACAGATCTTGCATTGAGAGAGACAATACTGAGCGTATTCCTAATATGTAGGTTCCGCTCATTACTACTTATAAAAAAGGAAGAGCCGGAGGTGGAAAATTAAGCTGTTGGAACGAAGCAATTGGTGGAGGACAAAGTTGCTGCGGTCTAAAATTTATGGGGTAATTACTAGCTAGAGATGCAGCATTAGGTGGAAGAACATTTGAGGAGGACCCGGGAAGAGGAAAACTATTTTGTTGGGTCGGAAAAATAGGAGACGAGAAAATAGGATTTTGGGAATTGTTAGCATAATACGAGGGGTAGTTTATGTTAGATGGCGGATGTAATGGTTTCGGGAAACAGTTAACATCAGGAAAGGGCTTTATTATTTGGGGTGTCAGAGTAGAAATGGGATTGGAAAATTTATCAGCAATGCAATATACTTGCATTTTGCAGTCTGATGTGTAAGAGGGCTTCACAACTGTGGCGGTAAGTTGAGAATTTAGGATAGGAACAGGTAAAGACCTCCCTGAACTCTCATCTAGCTTATTTGACCTAACTGCAAGGTCAGACCTGAGTGGCCAGGCGTGGAAACGGGGTGGATTCGATGTAAGTTTATTAACTAAATCACTATTCTGAGTGCTGGGAGCCGGTTGTGCTTCAAGGACTGGCTCATCTTTACTGCTAAGATCAAGCTCCCTTGTAAATTTGGGAGCCGCATTTGAACAATCCTTGCTCCGTGGGGAAGTTTTAAAGAGGCTAGTTTTAACCGTCTCTGTGATAATGTGATCAGTCGAAGAGCTAGATGGAACTGGGGCCGCTGTAGATAGTGGGGGGATTTGGTCGACACCCGATGGAGAAACTGATTTAGAGGTAAAAGGCATTTGAGTAGAATTCGGGGGTGGCTTTACGTTTGGTAATGGGGGAGAAACTTTTCGTTGCAGTGGAGTTTGATCTCGACTAATAAAAAGTTTATTTGCCCTGAGATATTGAGTCGAGCGCTCCAAATGGAAGAAAATAAAATCCACTTCTATCGATGAAAAGAGTTTGACAAGAATTGGTGGATTCTTGCTCCTAGATGAAAGCTTCTTAGCTTCCGCAACCCTAAATTTGAAGCCGCATGAAAAAAGGAAATGAAAGGCGACATCTATTGGCTGTCTACTCTTAGGAACGTGTTTTAATATAAAGTTGAAACTTCGTTTGTGCCTGTCTTCAATCTCAGTAGCAACCAGGTTAATGAGAGGCATGAGCTTCTCACAATGCTGAGACGTAAGCGTTGGCAACTTTCCGTCAAGAAGGGCACCAAGGACAGAAAAAATTGATCCGCAACGAGACATAAAGTTGTTAAAATCATCAAGCGCCCCTAGATCAATTTTTTTTTCATATGAACAATGGGTTTCAGATGAAGTTTAGTTTCCTTCAGATTTCGACGAAGGGTTGCCTGAGCTTTCATGGTGAAAACGCAATACAAGGCTTAAGTCCAAATATTTATATGGATGGTAACTGCCGGAACTTCGAGGATATATGGATGAGGCTATGTATGATGAAACGATTTCTGAAAGCTGCCAATATTGGTGGACCAGACAGCACAATTTATACTAAGCAAGTATTACTCACTACCAGAATGCAAACTTGAAAAAAACGGGCAAATGACAATTTCGTAGGTGGCATATCTACCTTCCCATCAGCGACAGTTTTTTTGCTTAAGATGCAATTAAATCGCATTTCACTATTCGCTAGCCGCCTTTCGTATTAGACAACTTATTTTATAAGCACGAACTGCCTACATACTTGTCAGAGATTTCGCTCTAAAATTTATTTTCACCCACTCTCAAAGCATCCTTATGGATACTTATTAAATAATTTGTTTGTTCATTCATCTAGAAGTCAACAAAATTCCTAAGTTGAGATATTTTATGGATTATTGGTCTCTCATTGACCAAAACGACACTTGGCACTTTGGATATGCGAGAAACAGGTTATGGTGAAGAAATGGTCCCTCAAGGTGTTTTGGTTGTTTGGTGAGCTAAAAAAGATGGAATTAGGCGACCGTTAGAAAGTATGTTGAAGTGTTCGCGGAGCATTTAGAGAAAGGTTTGTAAGTCGGTCTGCCATTAATGTAGCATAGGATGAAGGTTTTCTTTTGCTTAAAATAAACCCAGTTCGCGCAAAACCGACTACGCGGAAACCAAAATAGATAAACTCAACATGCAACCAAAATGACTGAGTTTATTTTCAGTTTGTTCCGTGTTTTAAAGTGACTGACAATGTCGAAGACATGCCATAATCATGTTATTTTCGTACTTAGTGCCTGCGCCTGGACATAGGAACAATGTAGAGACCGACAAATAGTGTGTCCTTTTATTAATTCATTCCATTTACACTGATTATGTTTTACAATGCAGGTTTAAATGTTTTAGTTTCTGGACTGTAACTAATTATTTGCTTCTCACAGAGTGTTGACCTTGAGCGCTGCTTATAAAACATTGGTGTGTACGGAAACACATTTGCATTTTGCACTCGTCGATTCGGCAACCAAAATGCTCCCGTAAGTAGCGAGAATGTGGCGTTAACCTGTTAAAAATTATGTGTTATTACATTACATTGTTTGACCGAATTTTAAAGACAGAATCATGTCTGGGAAAGCATATTGTGTGTCCGCACAGTATGCGCAGCGATGCAGGAATATTGAATGTCCGAGATTGCGTGCGCATACTGGCACACGTGTGTACATATAGGTACTGCGATACCAAAATGACTCTGTCCGCACGCTGTGTGGAAAACAGAAGGGCCGATATATAAGTGAAACTTGATAAAAGCTTGGTGAAAATATTTTAAAATATCGTCAACGAACTATGATGCCTAAAAGGCTCAGTGAATTCGAGTATAGCTTTTGCAACTTTAGTTCCCATGTATCTTCAGATTATCTAAAACAGGCACAAATTACTGATTTAACATAATACTTAACGTTAACTATTAAGTTGCTTAACTGGACTCCTGATTTATATCAGGAATTTGTCCCTGAAACTATAGATTTGTAGTGGAAACGTGGAGTTAAAAACTACAAACAGTAATATTTACAAGAAAACTAACTCGAAATGGAGGAATTGTGTTTACCAACAAAAAAAGGATGTACAGGCTCGAAGAATCAGAAAAGGAATGTTCCAGACTCACGCGAAGTAGAATCCTCTCATGTAGCGAGATAGCATTCCAATGAGGGACCGGTTGAATAGAGGTAGTCGGTTCCGCGATGATGTGGTGAAGTAGGCTTGTGAGGAGGGAGTCTCTGTCAGCTCATACGAATTGCTAAGAATGTTGAGAGGTTACAAGCGAACGTCAAGAAATAACGACATCAAGCACACTCGAAACCAGAACACACGTTGACCGCCGCAGAGCTGTTACTGTGTATTTCCGTTTAGTCAAACAAATGTACAGGAAAGTCAGATGTACAAGAAAGTGTAGCGAAACAAATCAAAAATGTAAAAAAGCCTACAGATTATAACTAGTTCAGCTCAGTTCACTGTATTGAAGGCAAAGCAGGTGTGCACCTTTAAATTTGTAAATTCATAATTAGGTAATGTATAATGCATATTGACGTGTTACAACTTGGGATTAGGTATGACTGGCCGATGACGGCTAATAAGCCAGAAATGCACACTCCAGTATCCCTTGTCGTTGTTAATACTATATACACATACACACACATATATATACGCATGTATTCACACATATATGTACAGTCAATTTATGTAAATTAACTGATTATAGATATTAAAATTAATGAAAGTGTTTGCCTTAAAGTAGGCTTTTTCATAAATTCTTAAAGCCTCTCTTTGCAGACTTCCAGAAGATGTAAAATATACTAGCTGAAATTGTGCCCAAATGTTTGCCCACGCCATCAAATTAATTATGTGACTGTCGCGAGCGCTAAGGACAGAACCATTAATCCCAGGCTATGGATACCAGGATAAGACCAGAGTTGTGAAGGAATTGACAATCAAAAGTCAAACGACCTAACGATCCAACACATGCCTAGAGCGTCGCGTCGTGTTGTATTCCTTCCATTCAGTTAAACAACCAGTAAGTTCAAGAATGAGGAACAGGTTGGGAAATGCAAGATGGTCCGGCGCCTCAGCACAGTACCCCCCCTCCGAGACCGGAGGGCGGCGAAAACGACACCGAAGGATGTGTACAGGTCTAAAAAACATCAGTGACCAACCGATCAGGAAAGTGTACATGACGACCACTGCGAGTGATATATACAGGGTCAGTAGAAGAGTGAATAAATCTGGTGGCGGAAGTGTTGGAGTTGGTGGTGGCAGTTGGAGGTAGCGGACAGGAGAGCAGAGGGCAAATACGGGGCGGTGGAATAGAGGCTGCAGGTGAGAAGCAGAAAGTAGAGGGCCACAGGGCTCATCTGGAGGAGTGTCAGGGACAGCAGCCTTGAGGCGGTTCACACTCACGACCTCTTTACGACTGTCGCGTTGAATGCGAAAAGTCTTTGTCCCACGAGAGAGCACCCGGAATGCGCCATCATAGGGCGGTTCCGGAGGCCGGCGGACTCGATCACATCGAAGGTAGACGTGAAAGCACGTTGCCAAGGCCTTCCCGAGGTAAGACGGAGAGGCGGAGGACTTGGGAGGAACCGGAGAAAGTGTCCGCATAAACTGCCGGAGACGATGCAGGAGGTTAGTGGGATCCTCAACTGCACCTCGTGGGGTTGGCGAGATCATCTCACCGGAGAGTCGAACGGTGGCGCCGAACACCAGTTCAGCAGCGGAACAGTCAAGGTCCGGCTTGAGAGCGGAGCTGATGCCAAAAAGAACCAGGGGAAGGTGGTCCGTCCAGTTCTCCGGATCGGCCGCGGCGCGTAGGGAGGCCTTCAGCCGGCGGTGAAAGCGCTCTATCATCCAGTTAGCAGCCGGGTGATGGGATGTTGTCCGGATGCGGGTACAGTCTTAAAAGGAGAGTAAAGACTGGAATAGGTTAGACTCAAACTGGGTACCACGGTCAATCGTGATTGTGGAGGGTGCACCAAGGATAACAACCCAACGACTGAGAAGAGCCTTGACCACCGCTGGAGCAGCAATGCCAGGCAGGGGAATTGCTTCAGGCCACCGAGTGAACCGATCTACACAGATGAGGAGATAGGAACAGCCATTGGACAGAGGCAGGGGGCCTACAATGTCCAAGTGAACGTGGCTGAACCTTGCACCAGGGCCGGAGAAGGTGCCAATAGGGGCCTTGTTGTGCCGCTGGATCTTACTCCGTTGACAGGCAATACAAGCTCGTGTCCGTGTTTTGAGATCTTTGTGCATCCCAGGCCAGACGAAGCAGTCGGAAAGCAGTTTGTCCGTTGCTCGACTCCCCGGGTGAGAGAGATTGTGCAGGGAGGAGAAAACCTTGCGGCAGAGGGATGGTGGCACAAATGGACGATGGGAAGGGGTGGATACGTCGCATAAGATGGTGCTGTTGCCAGTTGTCAGTGGTAGTTCCTGAAGTTGGAGTCCGGAAAAATCCTCATCACAGGGTGAGCCGACACGGCGCTGTTCAGCGGCCATCTCTTTTAGGGTGAAAGCTGAAGGTGAGCGATAGAGGGCCTGGAGAGTGCGTCAGCCACCTCATTCCGTGACCCGTCAATATGGCGGATGTCTGAAGTAAGCTGCGAAATGTAATCCAGATGCAGACCTCCCGGGGGCTTAGCTTGTCAGAGTGGGAATGCATTGCAAAGGCGAGCGACTTATGATCTGTAAAAATCATGGACTCTAGACCTTCAAATAAATGGCAGAAATGCCTTACGGAAAGATAAGCGGCTAGTAGTTCACGTCCAAATGTGCTGTAGCGGGTTTCGGCCTTGAATAATTTCCTGGAGAAGAAAGCCAAAGGAACGGTAGAATCTGGCAGACCTTGTTGAAGAACCGCGCCAACAGCAGCACTGGAGGCATCGATAATCAGAGATATGGGTGCGTCGGCATGAAAGTGAGTCAGAAGGGTAGCATCAGCCAGAAGGGCTTTTACCCGCTCAAATGACGTGAGTGCTGCTGGTGGAAGCTCAAAGGTGCGCTTAGAACCTAAAAGGAGACTGGGCAGAGGTAGGATGGTATCGGCACAGTTCGGGAGAAACCGACGATAAAAGTTCATCATACCAAGGGACCGTTGCAACTGACGTTTCGAGGTAGGGGGTGGAAAGTCCCGAATGGCGGCACCCTTTGAGGGAAGAGGCCGAATGCCGTTTGAGTCGATCAGGTGACCTAAGAACTCAAGAGAAGTGACTCCTAGGACGCATTTGGTAGGATGCCAGGTGAAACCAAACTGCTGAAATCGGTCGAAAAGCAGGGTGCGGTGTTGGAGATGTTCCTCGACATCTCGACTGGCGACGAGAACACCATCAACATACGCATAAACAAATGGGAGGCCACATAAAACACGGTCAATGAAACGTTGGAAAGTCTGTGAGGCATTTTGGAGACCAAATGGCATACGAAGGAACTCAAACAAGCCAAAAGGAGTCGCCACTGCCGTTTTGGAAATGTCCTCAGCCGCAGTCGGAATTTAATGAAAAGCCCGGACTAAATCGATCTTTGAGAAAGCGGTTTTGTCACAGAGAGCTCCGGCAAAGTCCTGAAGGTGAAGAACCGGATACCGATCAGGCATAGTGATATTGTTTAGGGCTCTACAATCACCACAAGGACGCCAATCATCCGTATTTGGTTTAGGAACCATGTGCAAAGGACTGTCAGACTGCCCAATAATCCCTAGTTGCAGCATGTGGTCAAATTCAGCTTTAGTAGTCGCAAGATGCGCGGGAGCAAGACGGCAGGGACGAAAGAAAACGGGAGGACCAGTCGTTTTTATATGATGAACAATATCATGGGGCAATGAGGTGTCAGAAAAATGGGGCTTAGTGAGGGTAGGATATTTTGCTAAAAGCATTCGAAATGGACAGTCAGGGTTTGGGTCAAGGACGGATAGATGGTTAGAAGCTGAGGATGGAGGAAACCCTTTGACGGTGAGGGTAGTTGCGCGATCCTGGAGGCGAAGTTGTCTGCAATCCACCAGAAGGTCAAAAGCGGCCAAACAATCAGCAGCAAGGATGGCGGTGGGAACGTCAGAAACCACAAATATCCAGGGTACTAATCGCCAGAAACCAATATCCGGAGAGAAGGATCGAAATCCAAAGGTTGTACTGGGAATGAGTTTACGGCTTGAAGGCAAAGACCATGGTTTGGGCAACGTCGGTCGGCTGGCGTGGGAGGGATAACACTACTTTGAGCGCCAGTGTCGACTAAAAATGCCTGCGAATCGTGTTATCACTGACGTAAAAAGTGCGTGCCGTAGAGTTGCCGGAGGGCTCGACCGCATTTACTCTCCGGCCGAGGAGTTTCCCTGCGTGGACTTGAAGGAGCAGGGTGGGACAGAGTGCCGCGCCTTATCGCCATAGTTGACATGATATCAGCATAGGTTTGCGGTCCTGGGGCAAGAGCGGGAACGAGGACTGGCACGGCCGAAGGAATGCCGAGAGGGACCGGGGGATCGGCGCAGCTGCAAAGCGGCAGCAGTCGTTGACACCTGGGCAATCTGTGTCTTAAGCTCAGCCGGGTCAGAGGTGGACACGGTGAGAAGGTGAGAAACCTCAGCAATCGTCGGGGAGGACAAACGCTCAACCTCCATCGTACGGTCGGCCATCTCCGCTAGCTTTGATATGTCTAGGTCGTTTGAGTCAGAGACCAAGATTGCTTCTACCGACGTCGGCAGACGCTCTAAGAACATCTATTTAAAGAACTTGTCGTCAATGGCCATGCTCCCAACGGGAGAACGCATACGACGCATGAGTTGCGACGGCTTGCGATCACGTAAGGCCTCCTCTTTTACCAGTGCATGATAACGCTGCCGATCGGAGACTGATGTCAGGCGAAGGAGTTCAGCCTTTAACTTGGTATAGGGAGCATTAGTCGGGGGATCTCGCAAAAGCGTCTGCACTTGGGAAAGGATGCTAGGAGGAAGGGCCTCGATCAACTTATAAAAACCGACAGGGCAACGGGCTCGTGGCCCGGTGAGTAGAGGCGTTGACTTCTAAACCAACAGGTGGCGAGTTCGAGGCTCGGGTGTTCCACACTTCGGGCTTGGGTATGGCTGGCTGAAGACGGCTAATAAGCCAGAAATGGCCATTCCAGTCTCCCTTGTCTTTGTCGGTAATATCATTCTACTTATAATATTTGTCTGTTTCTCGCGTTATCTTGGCGGAGTGAAATTTCGCCTCGATAGGGAAAAAATAGAGTTCTGGCGCACGTTGCCAAAAGTCTGGGAGAGACGAAACAAGTCCATTGAGAGAATAAGTGGCATTGATAGAATCCGTGAAGATCATGATGGTAAAAAGAAAGAAGGCAAATGGACTGTATGCAGATAGAAAGTCAACAAATTAAAGGTATAATCGCGAGCGTCAAAAAGTCACCACTGTCGCGAGCGCTAAGGACAGAACCGTCAATCCCAGACTATGGATATCAGGATAAGACCAGAGTTATGAAGGAACTGACAATCAAACGTCAAACGACCTGACAATCCAACACATGCCAAGCGCGTCGCGTTGTGTTGTGCTTCTTCCATTCACTTAAACAACCAGTAAGTTCAAGACTAAGGAACAGGTTGGGAAATGCAAGATAGTCTGGCGCCTCGGCACATGACAAGTGAGTAAAGTTTCTTTATATAAATTTCGTGGAGCCAAATTCGCTTTGAAAAGTTGAAAAAACAACTTATATCCTTTTTTTAAAAATCAACTTTAAAATAAGGGGTGCCAAAAATCAACTACCAGATGGCGATCCGTTCTTTTGACACTCTTCTCTGCCGAAATCGCAGATTTTGCTAATATTTTGTCTTTTCTTTGCCTCCTAAATATTACTCGATTCAAACGAATAACTCAGAAGAATTGTTGGCGGACATAGGTATGCTTTCGATACATTCTTGTCGAGCCGGTGCATTTATATGGAAAGGAATAAGTGTGACTGAGAAGAGAAATAGATCGCAGTTTCTCCTTCCTGACAAGTACTCTATGGAAATAGGAGGCAGATATTATAAGAAATAGTGAGTTAGGAGGCAGACAGAGCTAGGTTGAGCCGTGTTAGGCGCAGGATGCGGAGAGGTGAACGCACATATCTTACTTTTGGCGCATTAAACGTGGTACTTACACCGGCTTCGTTGTTGCGCATATAACCGGCTTAGGTAACCTGGAAATAGTCGCTTCTGATGTTGCTAACAGGCGCTGATCCAACAGCTTAGAGTAAGTTGATGAGACCCTGTAAATTACGCGGAAGGCTTTCTTGGTGTTCCTTTAGTGTCCAAAACAAGCAAGACCTGTGTAAATGACGCCGTTTGTTTTTCCAAATTTTGCCATTGCTCACCCATATAAAGAAGTTTTCCCTGGTCAAGGCGATTCGTTTGAATTCTACTTTCTGTGTCCCCTTAAAAGTGGCTTTAAAAGAGCAAATCTTTTTCGTCGTCCATGTGGTGTGTTTTTCTGGTCTCCTGATATCATTCCTTGCAACAAGTTTGTCAGAACGCCCGTTCTGGCTAATTGGATCTCGGATATTTTTGATTTCCTTGTCGAAGCTGTTCGCAGGAAAAATAGTTCTAGCTCTATGCGCTAAACATCGGACTAGATCATGTCTCTGTTGAAGGGGTAGGAAACAGCAGAAATTAGTTTACTGTGCAGACCACCTTTTCTTTTGATAGACACTCCTTCGAAAGCTACCTTTAACTATTCTGAATAGAAGAGAACCGGCCATTTTTACCTGAAACGTTAACTCAATCGATGGACGATAGCAGCGATGCCTGTTAGCAACAGGCGGAGCGACTGCCATTAGACTACGTAAATCAGTTGATGAAAATTTATCTGAGACACTAGTAAGCTTGCCAACCGGTCTTCTGAATTATTTAGTTTGCATGGGGTGAAGTAAAAAAACGGATAGAGCTAACTTTCATATCGTCTGATTAAACCCAATAAAACTCTAGTTCCGATGGTGTAAGCTATCTTATTACTACAAATTTCTACAGAATTGGTATATTTTAAATGAAAAAAATACCTCAAAATGTACGCACTATTTTTATGTTTCTTCTCTAGAGAAGTACATTTTTGTCATCGAAACAATTCGTAACTGTAGTCTGACATTAGAATTATGTCAGCACTTTTGAAGGCTTACCAGCTTGGCTTGAATTGACGTTTACCCTCTTTTTTGCTTATTCTTGTAGGCGATACAGGAAAATAGGAACATTCTTTGTCGCTTTTTCGGTTCTACTGTTCTGGTACCTGTTGATGCATTCAGAGGAAAGAGTTCATGATGATGTTCGTCAATTTTCCCTTAATATCTGTTGCAACAATTTCCTTTTCTGCTTTCAGTTATTAAATTAAACACGGTGTCTCTTGCCTTCTCATTTTGCCTAATTAGCTTTTTAGCCTAAGTCAATATCACGTTTTTCGGCATTAAAAAGCTACTTTTTATGAAATATCAGTGCTAGTCATGCGAACGGAAGTAGCCTCGACGACTGACTGTTATTTTCTTAAGTCGAATGGTTTTTATAATTTTGTTTTATTCCTAACGACGTTTGTGCATCTTTCATCTACGTAGTTTCGGAAACTAATGGCAAAGGTGAACAAAATCGATAAGAAAGGATTCCACAAAAACACGACTGACATTCACATTGCCCAAATAGTTGTCGGAACGCACCAATGCCGTCTAGAGGTTCTCGCACTGAAAAGCATACTGAACAAGTGGAAATCGAAACGTCAGAATGCTGAAATGCAGAAATTACATTTGCATATAATCTGTGATCTAAAGTCACGCATTATTATGAATACTATGCTGCAAACCTGGCAATTAAAGGATGTGCACTACACTTTTCACGTGATCTCAGACCAGAAGGTTTGTCTTTTGTGTTCGCTTCGTTCATAACAATGATCTGCATTTATATCATCTTCTGAAAAAGCCTTAAGTAGTGTTTAGTTCTTATTTGTACTAACCATGTAGAAGTTACTGGCGACTTTGGTGTAAGAAACAAACACAGTCTGTTATGCAGCAGGAGAGTATGCATGCATATCAAGCCCAGGAAGGGGAGTGTGAATAAACGCACATTTACCAATGTTCTGTTGGCGTCGATAGGCATCTTTTTATGCACAACCCTGTTTCATCATAAGGATTTGATGCCGCGGTCCTTTCTGAACAATGTTTACGTCACTATATTGCGTGTGTTGTATGCAGCCGTTATTACAGAGGACAGTTTAATTAAAGAAATGCATTTTTCTATTCAGGAAAAGACTGCGTGGATGCGCAGTTGGCATTATGCTACAGCTATCTCCGTCTTACGGCTGTATATCCCAGAAATATTGAACGACACTCAGACGGTGGGCTATGAACTTTTGAAATAATCACTGTTTTGGTCAAAAATTGCTTCAAATAGCAGAATGTTTCATTTAGTTTGCTAACTTTTTTCCCGTAAAACGTTTGCAATAGTTTTTGTGAAACTGTATATTGCGGTACATGCCAGATCAATCCAATCTCCCGGTTCCTTAATTTGTGTTCTCATCTTTTCCAACTCAAAACCGCGTACGTACGGTGCTGTAGTTCTGGCAGTGCGTTACTGCGACAAACAGACATGAACATTTTACCAGCGACACACGAGGAAACTAAGCTTCTCCTTCTAAGCTCTTTTCGGCACAGAGCTCCGAGAAATCAGAGCAGACATGTAATGTTGAAGCAGTTTGAACCGCAACGGAGAGGCTACATTTCGGGAATGATTGACTAGTCTCTGCTCCTATGGCCGTTTTAGGATGCTGCAATAACGGGTGACAGGAATGACGCTACAAAGACGAAACGGCTCCACACAGGATAAGCGGATATAGTGCACTGTTGGAATGCCCGAAGTGAGGATAATTAAGGCAGTTGCGTAGGACCGTAGGGTCACAGGCAAAAGTCACCAAGACCCATATATTTTCAAAAAATCCACATCAAAACATAGCGGCCTAGGCGAGAGGTAGGCAGTCTGGGCATCTCCGGACCTGCGCAATATCCGCACTATCAATTGATAAACGCGTAAACTTTACTACTGCTTCACCTCATAATAGGCCCGCGTACCCTTCCCTGCTGTGCCAACAAGCCCATTTCGTGCGAGAACGTTGCCAGTAAAGAGGACACAGTTTTACGTACCCTACCACCGTTGCATACCAGTTACAGTGAATGATCGATCTCATGAAATGTTAGCCGAAATTCCGAAGTCCGTTCTTAATTAGGAAGGATTACTTTGGGATGATTGTAATATTGATTATCCTGCGGCGTAATCCTACAATATTTCGGACTCGGCAGGATGTCAGTTTTTGAATACATCACTTATCGAACTTCCATGGAAACTGTACTCGGCAAAAACTGACTACTTATTAGCATGCACTTTCATCACTGATTTTAGGTGGTCTTGCAAATCCAAATATATTTTATACAAACTACAAACAAAAATATGTTTTCGTTCGCTCGTTTGATAGAGAATTACGCTGCCTTCCTATTTTATACTCAAAGGAAGGGTATATTTTGGTTTTTAAAAGTTTCTAATTATGAGATTTTTAAGACCGTACAATGTCCAATGAAATGTAAATCATAGTCCGCATCCATTACAAAATTTTCCGGACCCTATACAATATATTTTTAAAAGCGTAGAAGAATGCATGATTTTCATTACGAAGAACGCATACACTTTGCACACTGAAATTACTAAGCCCTTATGCAAGAGCT